TATATATTGATTGAGCTATGCATTAGTTATTTAAATCTAAATAAATTAAATTAAAATATTATTATATTTCATATAAATATTCGGCCTATAATTTTACTCTGAAGGGTTTACAGTTTTAGGGGTTAGGGTCTATTTATTTTAAAATTATAGATATATATAAGTTTTCAAAAAGTAATAAATCTAACAAAAATATTATTAAATTATTTATTAGATTTTATCTAATAATTAATTAACTTATTAAATTTCATGCAATAACTAAATGCCATGTAAGGTGAGATGGAAAGGTGAGATAAATTAGGTGAGATGTGTATCATCACTCTTTATTTATTACTTTCAAAAGAAAATTAATGAAAATTACTCTTTTTGTTGTACCTCGGCTTTGATTTTAAACAAAGAGAGGGGAAAAAAAAAAGATACAAAACTTTTATGTCCTTGATTGCCTCCTGCACGACATTCATTTCAAACACAGAGGATTTATTTTTTGAAGACCGATGGATGGAGTGTTTAGGTGTATAAATCTTTGACCGAATCAGCTCAAACAAAGCCACCCATGATAATTTGTACATGAAGAGTTGATACCTTCAAGTTGGTACAAACCACAGATGTCAAAATAAATAAATAATGTCGAATTTTAAAAGTCAGAAATTAAAAAAAAAAAAAAAGGTCAATACTATGTATGTTTTGTTGAAACTAGTCGGTAATTTTCATTAATTTGAAGATGTTTTAAGCTGATTAATTAATGGGCTTGATGAGGTTGTTGATTACATGGAAGGGACACATGACATCCAAAGAGTTTGTTATTCAACGAGGACCTTGGTACATAATGTTACTTTTCATTATGTTGTTGACAGATATTGTGTTTCCTTTTTCGGAACAAGTTTGTCCGGAAGGATTAGGGTTATGCCTCAAAATGGACTTTCGGTTCTTTCTACTTATGGAATGTAGTTAAAACTTGGCATGGAATAGATCATATTTTATTATTGTGTACTGGAGAAATAAACATGTTGTAAAGGATGGTACGATCAGAATATTTAATAACAGGGCAGATGCGACATTAGTTATTGGGCGTAGGCTGTCGTATTCTGAGTTTCTGGGCAGAATTTATGATAAGGCGGGTTGGGACAGAGATTATGTAAATCTGATAATTAATTTGTTGCTTGAAAACAACGGTGTAAGACGAAGCGCAACAATTACGGACGACTCGTCGATGGAATTTTTTTTTTTTTTCAGGTTCATCATATTTGGAGCTGTATGTTGGAAATGAAGACACGGTGCATGCCTAAAATTTATTAGATCTGTCTGAACAAAAGTAGGATGATACATTTGGGTCGCAAGAGCAATACTAGATGAATAATTCTCAACATGCAGAAGCAGGGCCTAGCATATTTGGTTCGCAACAGTAATACTAGATGAATAATTTTCAACATGCAGAAGCAGGGCCTAGCACATTTAGGTCGCAACAGCAATACTTGATGAATAATGCTGAACATGCAGAATCAGGGCCTAGCAGGAGCAGTGGCGATGGATACGTTGCTGAGGGACAAGGAGGGGGTCAACATGATGACTTTGATTCATCTGATGAGGATGATGCATCAGACGGAACTTATGTAGAAAGCGAGAAGAAGTTGACTACCAAACTGATGTGTCGGACGAAAGTGACTTAGAAGAAGAACAACAAGAAGTAGAAGCATAAGCAGAATCAGTGCAGAAGTTGGTCACTTCTGATTTAGGTTAGCATGTATATTCAGACATTGGTGATTATAAAAAGAGCATAGTGGACCGAGATGAGTTTGAAGTTAAGATGTGAAAAGGTGATAGAGAAAACCTTGATTGGGATACCTGTCAACAACAGGGATGAAGTTGAGGCAGCTATCGAGGACTGGAACATACAAAACAACAGGCAATTTTATGTGACTGTTTCTGGTGGTAAGTCATGGACTGTAGAGCGCTCGACAAGAAGAATGCAAACTTCAATTGGGCAATCTACTTGTGCGTGGAGGATGCGTGCATCCTTGAAGAAGAATGGTCTGTGGCAAATTGTGTCCTGGGTTGATCGTCACAATTGCATTGGAATAACTAGAGAAAATGACTATCGCAATTTGAGGTTGAAGTTAATAGCCAGACTTATCAGGCGTAGTGTTGAAAATGATCCTGGTTTTAAGGTGAAGTCAATCAGGGATGCTGTGAAGATAGCTTATAAAATGGATGTGAAGTTCAAGAAGGCATGACATGCAAGAAGGAAAGCCATCGAAGCGTGTTATGATAACTGGATTGATAATTTCACCGAATTGCATTGGTAAGAATTTAAAACTTATTATTTATAATATTTTTGGTTTGATTCTTTATGCGAATTTAGAATATTTTGTTAGGAAAATATTGGACTATTTTTTAAATGTTGGACTGATTATGCGAATCTAGACTGTTTTATTAGGAAATTACTGAGAATATTTTATAAATCTTGGACTGTTTTGACTATTTATGCAAATCTGGACTGTTTTATTAGGAAATTTCTGGTGTGTTTTTCAAATCTTGGACTGTTTTGACTGTTTATGCAAATCCAGACTGTTTTTTAAATATTGAATTATTTATGCAAATCTGGACTGTTTTTGTAGGTATTACTGAACTGTTTTCTAAATATTGGACTACTTATGCAAAATCGGGACTGTTTTATTAGGAATTACTAAACTGTTTATTGGACTGTTTTATATATATGATAGGTGTATGGCCACACTACAGAAGTCTAATCCCAACACAGTTGTTGAGTGGAAATGGCAGCCTGAGACTGAGAATGATGAATATCGGGTCTTCAAATATGTTTTCTGGGCATTTGGTCCTTCCATTGCGACATTTCATGTGTCAACCTATTGTAAGTATTGATGGCACACACCTTCACGGTCAGTACAAGGGTAAGCTTCTTGTAGCAATGTGAAAACTGTTAACAACCATATCCTGCCTATTGCTTTTGCAATTGTGGATGAGGAGAGCGAGGACAGCTGGTCTTTTTTTCTCTGTAATTTAAGGATTCATGTTGTATACGACAGAATCACGTATCTTATATCAGATCGGCATAAGGGGATAATCAGTGTACTGAAAAATAATGTCGATATGTGGCTTGAACCATATTATGGATACCACAGGTATTGTCTTTGACATGTTCGGAGCAACATGGAGAAACACAGAAATCAAACTGCGTGAACCAATCTGGTGTGCTGGAAAATGGGCAAGAAGCGGCAAAATCACAAGTTTCTAAAATTTCAGCAACAACTGAGAGAGTGTAATGAAGCATGTCTTGCTTATATGATGGCTATTCCAAAGGGGAGGTGGAGTCTTGCATACGATCAAGATTATGCACGTTGGGGCATCGTGACAACAAATATATCTGAGAGTTACAACAATATTCTGAAGGGTGTTCGTTTTTTCCAATTAGAGATGTGGTGGAATCGACATTGGCGAAGACAGTTAAGCTCTTCTGTGATCAGTATGCAGATGCCTTGAAGTGCAATACTCCTATCAGAGATAAGTATTGGAAGAAATATTGTAAGTACGAGATCACAGCCGCAACTCACAAAGTGGAGCTGTACGATTCACAAAACCAAGTGTACGGGGTAACTACAGGTTGGTGGTATAGGGAAAGGTGGAAACAAGCACAAAGTAGAATACAGGGATTGGCGTTGTACCTGTAAGAAGTGGCAGACTTGCAGACTTCCTTGTTCACACGCATTGGCTGTATGTCGGTGGATTGGTGATCACCAAGAAAACATAATAAATGAATATTATAAGACGAGCACATGGCGTGAGCAGTTTCGTCATTCTAGATTTGTTCCCGTCCCAAGAAAAGAAGAGTGGGTATTTCCAGGGTGGAACCTTGTTCCTGATTATGTCAATCTAGTTCTGTATAATGCTCCGGGTCGTCAATACCAGCGGGGATTCTTGGATGTCAATGGATTATATGGGTAGGAGTAGACGCAGAAGATGTAGGAAATGCGGCAGTCGAGATCATTTGACAAGGGAATATGGTCGTTCGCACCGCATAGCTGATCGGACCAAATTGGAAGTCAACTGGGACGCAAATGGTTTCAAAAATATTGAAAAAGTTTGAATTCCTCCGGTGTGTTGAATCTGGAACTAATATCATGTAATCTGTATTTCTGTATTTCTTTATGTATTTTGATGTTTATGTTAGCCGACTCCTTGTATTATGTATTTCTTTATGTATTTGGATGATCATTATTGTTATGACTGTATTATTATTATTTTAGTTGGATGTTTCAGTAGTTTGTGTAATAAATGTAATCTGAATTAATGTTTTAGTAGGAACGTATTTGTACTAGCAGGAATTTGTATTAAAATATTATTTTTTTAAAAAAAAATAGGGTTTAGGTTTTAGGGTTTAAAAACGAAATTCGAAAATCTGTTTTTCTTTAAAACTAAAAACGGAATTCGCAAAATCAATTTTTCTCATCTATAAAATCCCATAATACGTTCCCGTTGATCATTTTCTTTCTTCCCCATTCTCCTTTTCTCCATTACTGCATTTAGGGAAAATGTCAAGTCGGAGCAGCAGCAACAATATGAGTCATTTTTTTGTCCATTATGCGGGAATAAGTGCAAATTTATGCTATCTAATACGCCCAAAAATCCAGGCCGTCTTTTCCACTATTGTCCTATTCACCATTTTCAGAATTGGGCAGAACTCGTAGGAAACAAAGCTGGGAGTAGCTTCATTGAAAACGGACAAATGATTACGATTCATCACAGGTGTCGAAATTGTACCGGTAACAATAACATTAATCTTTATTTTCTAAATCTAGCATGTTTGGTTCATATTTTTCTTGTTGTAGTCATTTTAGCTATTAGAAGTTAGGGCTTGATTGAAGTAATTTGTGTGAAAAAAATTAAAAATGAAAAAAATAAATCCATTTTGATTAAAATAATAAAATGGATTCAGAATTTCCGTTTTGTTTAAAATAATAAAACGGATATTTGAAATCGATTTTTGTTTAAAAGTATTGACTTAGTCCAAATTCTTCTTTTTTCCTTATTTTCTTTCTTCCCCGTCTCAAACCCGCTCCGCCGGCGGCCACCCGTTTCAGAACCCTAGATTTTTTCCCCGGCGGCCACCCCACCTTAGTCCCATCTAAATCCACAAATCCGTCGACTTCGACACCCCGCTGTATTTGACACCGCTGTATTTGACGGCCCCCATCTCCGAATTCCGTCGACTTCGACAAAGGTTCTTTTCCGGTGCTTCGCCTCTCGCCGGTGCATCGCCTCTTGCCGGTGCATCGCCTCTGCAACTTCCAGGTAACGCCCTTAGCCCCATGCAACTTGCGGTTCTGTTTTTGTTCTTTTAAAATGCCTCGACTTCCTTGCTTCGAATTCCTGCTTTTTAGATCCAGTTTTTGCATTTCAGTTTTGGTTTTTGCGGCTAGAAATGTGTAATTTTGGTTCCATTATATTCTCATTTCGTGGCTGAATGTTTAGTTTATGGTTAGAATTGGTGCATTGTAATACATGAAAGCTTCGGTAACCATTTGGTTGATGTATTTATCTGTTTGTTTGCTTCTTAGTTTATTTTAAATTCTACGTGCATTAACCTCTGGGATTGTAATAACTGTAATCTGTTTTTTAATTTGGAACCAAAGCACAATTTGAGGCTGGCAGATTTCTAAAGTGTCTCGGCCATTTTGTTTTTTTTGTTTTTTTGGTGTTTATTATTGCTCCCCTACTACTGTCAACGTCTGGCTCTGATATATGAAGTGATTCCGAAGCTGGTTGGTTGGACTTAGTTCTGAAGTATGTAGAAGTGGTTTCTTGTCTTGTTTATGCAATGTAGTTGGGGAGGCGGCATATGGTTATTCTTTTTCTTATTAAAGTTTGTTTGAATAATTAGGAGGGACTAGAGCTTTTCTTTTGTTTGTTGCAGATACACTGATGCTTCAAAATGATTGTGTTATTCCTCACATACTCATCATGATCACCATTAGGTTTTGATCTACTCTGATTAGGAATATGCAGTTCTGTTTTTTTTTTCTTATTTGAATTCAACTGACAAATGCATTCTGGTTCTTTTTTTAAAAAAAAATGCATTCTGGTTCTATTGTTTTATTGACTTCAATTTCTGATAGTAATTTGGCTTGTTATTTTAGGGTTATTGAAATATTTTAGATAGTAAATGCAGCATGCTAGTTGCTTCCTTAGTTTAATGCATGATAAACTTAAAGACTGTTTCTGTTTTTGGGTTATGTATTTTCAAGGGTGCTGTGCTTTGGATTATACGTTCTGCTATTGTGTCACCTCGTTTTATACATTCTGGTTCTGTTATTTTTGTTCTTTAACAGAAATATGACTAGTTTTTCTTCGTCGCAAGCCCAATAATTCACAAATAAGGGTCTGATTCAGTCCGACCTTCTTTACCTTCACGGTGATCATCGTTCTGATGCCGTTTGGAACAGTAATCCGAAATACATGCCTGAGCACCATAAGTGTCGACGGTTTGATAATCTACTTTGGCAATTGTACGTTGTCAGCCTCATCGCAGTTAAATCTTTCGTGATTAAAATGGGTTTTGGATACTTCCTCGTCAAGGGTCTCATTCGATTAGACAACTCCCTTGTGACAGCCTTGGTCGAAAGATGGCGGCTCGAAACTCATACATTTCACTTTCCAATGGGAGAAGCAATAATTACGCTCCAAGATGTCGAAGTTCTTTTAGGTCTGAGAATTAATGGAAATCCTATAACTGGCATTGATTCGCCACCAGCTAGTTGGGTCCCAATATGCCAGGAAGTTTTGGGCTTCACACCTAAATTTAAAAAGGGTCCAACCAAGTTATAATTACTCCGCTGGCAAAAGAGTGTTAGCGAAAACTTCCAACTACGGCCTCAGAAGATGACTTCAAGAAAAGGGCTCGGGTTTTTGTTTTGTGGGCAATTGGAGGTTCACTATTTCCGGACACAACCGGCAACACTATGCCTTTGCTTTATTTCCCATTATTGAAGGATTTTTAAGTCTTGTAAAAAGCGAAGTTGGGGGAGTGCATGTCTTGCGGTGTTGTATAATAATCTTTGTAAAGTATCAAAAAGTACAAAATGGGATATAGGTGGATGCCTAATTCTTTTGTAAGTATAACTCGATTTTGAATTGTATTTTTTTTATTTTTTTCTTTTATGTATAATTTGTGTTCTTTTAACCTAACATGTGTTACATTTATAAATTTGAGTTAATGAGTGAATCCCAAAGATAAGTCCCAGGAAAAAAAACCCAGAAGACGACGATGACATCTTGGTCTTAGGTTCAAGGTGGAGGTGTTCATTAGATTTTTTGTAGGTGGCCTCCCACTGTCTCCCAACACAACGAGATCAACTCGCAAGCCTTAGGAAGACTAAAGATGTTAGGATTTCTAATTTTATATGTGATTAAATTCTTTTCGAATGAATCTAAAATTTTAACTCTTCACTGCTGCCTTTTTTTTTTTATACCGCACGTCTTTAGTTTACATTCTGTTTTTTTTTTTTTCATATTGAATCCAACTGAGAAATGCATGTTGGTTCTTTTTTTAAAAAATGCATTCTGGTTCTATTTTTTTTTTTCTAAATGCATTCTGGTATTGTTTTTTTTATTGAATTCAACTGATAAATGCATGCTGGTTCTCTTTTTTTAAAATGTATTCTGGTTCTGATTTTTTTTTTTTAAATGCATTCTGGTTCTAATTTTTTTTAAATGCATTCTGATTCTTTTTTTTTTTTAAATGCATTCTGGTTCTATTTTTTCAAAATGTATTTTGTTTTGTTTGGCTTGACACTATTATTCTGTTCTGTTTTGTATTTCAGTTTATTTGGCAACCTTACGAAGGAGTGAACTTAACTGACAAATGTACACGGGGTCGGGATCATTGGCAATCAAACAATTGGTTACTTGCGACAATTTGGCTGCAAACAGTCGATCCCACCACAATCAATGATTACTGGTTGCGAAGAATGGGAAAATTTGCACAAGTGGGGTAAGACTGGAAGAGTTGGGACTAACTGCGAGCATCATCATCGAGAATACATCGCCAAATGGAACAACAGAGCGGACACCATTGTGCCTGGGTCTCCGGTTAGTGGTCAATCCTCAACCGATGATGATTATCTCCCTTGGTATAAAATCAAGACCATCAAATTTATCAATGATCCCAATAAGTACAACTTTATGGAGGAAGGGTTTCGTGAGTATTCAGATCGTGCAAAATTTTATGTAAGTGTTCTCATTCATTCTTTTTCTTTTTAAAGCTGGTTTTGTTTTCTTTTATATACATTTTCTGGTTTGTTTTTTTCATAAATTTCTAATGTGTTAACTGATGCTTTTTGTGACGTCTGCAAAAAGGTTGAAGACTATAACAAATCAAAAGATGTCTGCCAAAATTCAGTGTGTATGAATCTCCTTGATGAGATCGTTATTCATGCTATGAGTGCTTTATTCGTTGGAGAAAATGAGATGCCAATTTTGAAACCCAGCCGGTTAGCAAAGTTCGCAAGCGAAATATTCCTCACTGTGGGATTGGAGGAGGCAGGCAGAAAATCGAGCAAGAAGAAGAAGAAGAAGATCATGAACAGGAATATGATTTTGAACTCAATGTCGACTTGTTTCAAACTCCAACCCTCTAGCAACAAGAAGAAGACGAAGCCAACAAAGAAGGTGAAACTACAAGAATGGATGTGGATGTTTCCCCCTTGAAACAACCTAGTCTACTTTTGGCGTTATCAAGGCCACGCAGAAAGTTAAAGAAAGTCCAACGTTACACGCCATCCACGGAACAACCTAAGCCACTGCTAGAGGAGGAGAAATAATTGCTTCATTTTGTTGGTAATCTACCCTTGATGAACGTTTTGTAATGTAGTTTTTGATTTAAACATGTTACAATTACAATATTTTGCTGAAGTGATATTTGAATTCAAAGGTTATGTTGAGTTGATGCTGCTGTTGGTGTTGTTTTGGTGCTGTCTGTAAATCGTTTTTGAACATGTTTGCAATTGCAGGCCTGTTCTATTTTCTTTTTGTCTACAGCTTTAAAAACAGATTTCGAAATTTTGTTTTTTTCTTTTTCAAAATACTTTCTTAAAAATGGTTTTTCAATTTCTATTTTTCACTGCCGGAAAATATTTACTTCACATAATTTTTGGACAAATTCCTTTCATAAAAATTGATAAATAGAAAACGGAATAAAAGTTTCCGTTTTCCTTAATCAAACAAATCATGAAATCTTAATTACATCTAATTCTTTAAAAACGGATTTCGAAAATTCGTTTCATGAACAATGCATGTAAAAACGGATTTCCCGCAAATATTTTTTTATGACCACTCCCTGAGACAATTATATTTCAATGGATTCCTTCTATCCGGGACATATTTTGGGTTCAACTCTAAAATCATCCGTACTTGGCGTAAACCCCAGATAAAATTCTATTGGGGACATATTTTGGGGTTCAACTCTAAAATCATCCGTACTTGGCGTAAACCCCATATAAAAATCAGAGCTTGCGTCCTGGACCTCCTGTCGACTCCTTCTATTCGGACATATTTTGGGGTTTAACTCTAAAATCATCCGTACTTGGCGTAAACCCCAGATAAATTTCAGAGCTTGCGTCCTGGACCTCCTGGTCTCTCGCTCTCCGAGCTCCGATTCTGGCTGATGCTTGCTGGACTGGAAGCTTTTCGTAAAAATCGGTAAGTACGCTCATGGGTTTGTTTCTGTCCCCTTGATTATTCGTGGTAGATTTGCAGTTTTTGTTATATAGCCGACTTTGCAATTTGTTTTGGCCTTTCTGAAATTGAATTGGGGGTAATGCGTTGTGGATTGAGGATTTAGACTTGCTAATCGGTGATTGATGGACTTGGTTTTTGATGATCTGCTTCGAATTGCCACTTGGGGGAGTAGGGGACAATTTGCCTTAATTTATAATGGATCCTAACTCATTCCATACTCTGACGGACTTTTGTTTAGAAACAGTGAAAAGTTGTTATATATTTTGGGTTCATGGGGTCATGTCGCGTTGGAGGATTATGCAACTTTTTGTGAGACCAAAAGCTAAGACAGAAAGAAACAGAACCAATTCTCTCATTTTCTGTATGCTTATTGTACCCAATTACATTGCTTGCGAGACTGTGAAAACAAATCCCACATTTTTGTTTTCTTAGAGAAGAAAGTATGCTGCATTTGGAGTTTACTGAGGTCTGGTAGAAAGCAAAAGTTGTTGATTTTATTGGCTACCGATCTATCATGACAGTATCTTGCTAGCATCGGAGTATATAGAGTAAAGAATTACTTAGTGTTTATTCAATTTTGTAAACGCCAGAGCTCTATTCCTCTGTACTTCTATATTCTGACTACTTTCCAGTGTTCAATGGCCTTGCCTTGTCATCTGTTAGTAGTATTAAGGTCATGCCCTTCTGTGTATGCTCTGTTTTGTCACTGTGTGTGTGTGTGTGTGTGTGTGTTTTGTTTTTGGTTGGTACTGTTTTTGTGGTTAAATTATTGCGAATTATCAAATTGTTGAAACCTTTTGCAGCCAGTTTGAGGAAAAAACTCTGTTGTATTAGTTTGAAATTTCAGATGTTTGAGCGTACTCATGCATGCATGTGTCTTCTTCTTCTTCTTCTTTTTTTTAGTCTGAAAAAACATCTGATTTGTATCCGGAAATTTTAAGTCCTACCACTGAGGTCTCAGTTTAATGGTCCCATGCATATCTACTCTTATGATAGTACTTTTATATGTTACTTTTCGTTTCTATTGTCTGTAACTTCCACATTTATGTGTGTATCTGTCCTTTTGTTGTTTAATTCTGATCTCCACTCTGGGAGATCTGATCCTTCAATTCGATTGTTTTATGCGTCTATCTATTTCTTTTTATCTGTTTAACTGAAGTAGCTGTCCTATGCATTTTTTTCAAAAAGTACTTCTTAAACTTTTGCTTCAGAAAGACTTTTTTGAAAAGCTTTTCAAAAATCTTGTCCAAATGGAGCCTTACTTGTTTATTTAGAATGAGATGTTCATGGAATTTTCTAGTTCTTCAACTGAACAGAGGCTCCCAAATTGTGTGTTGAATCCCAATTGCCTCTCAATTTAAAGAAGTGGAGTCAGTGTATAAGGTTTTGGGTATGTTTATCTTATTGTAAGTCAATTGTACAAGGAAATGTTATCCTGCTAACTGAAGTGTGGAAAGTATACTTTGTGCCATACTTTAGGTCCGCTCAAAGAAAATTTCATTGAGAAAATTATGATGGAAAAAGCAAATAGTTTTCCTATGCTGAGTGAATTGTTATTATTCCTGAGAAAGAAAAATTGCTTCCCTCTCTTTTTAGGCAATTCAGTCATCTTACAAGAGAAGGCTAGTTCAAGAAAATTAGAACAAGAATGAGTGTCTTTTGTCATGAGTGTGGCAATGTCAGCTTCATCGATGGTGAGGATGGCTTCCTTTATTGTAATGGCTGCAGTGCACGAATGGATGATTACATGGAGACTGAGATTGATACCGATGAGATGCCTAGCGGTAAACAAGCTATTTACTCCGTCAGACACGGTCATCGTTCCAGCTGTGATGAACTTCGGCAATCTCAGCTTAACATAGTACCTGAAGGGGTCGAAGGCGGTGGTGATGCGTTTGTAGATAATGGAGATGGACCTACTGGGCCCAGTGATTTTGGATATACTCCTTCAAACTTAAGTTATGATGACCATTATTCGGAGATCAGATCAAGGTACGTGAAGGGGTTTCAGATTATGATCCAGTTGCAAGTTAAGGCTTTGTTGGAGAAGTTCAATGCAAGCCCGCTAATTGTTGGACTGGTAGGACCTATATGGTTAAGGTTTCTAGCTGTTACCAAAATCATGGCTGATGAGTGGGCAGATGACGCTATTCATGAATCAGAGTCTCATATTCAAGGTTTTATTTATTTCTCCTCTTTTTATACACTGCTGTTAATCATTTATACTTGTAACCTAGTGTCTGTCATTTTTTAACACGGATTAGGAATTTTCATCTGAGTCACTATGGATAAAAAGTATGTAGAAACAAGATGCGTATGTTAGTTTATTGGGATGTTTGAGCTCCCTCTTTGGTCCACTTTCCATATTTGTTGTGACTGTGGATGTCACATGTACACAGATACTTAGCCTATCTAGTTTGTCATGCTTACGTAACTGTCCCATATAGTTTGCAAACAAATTGATATTGGGAGGTGGGAGGGTAGTTCCAAAAGGAGTTTCTGCAGAATTTCCCAAGATTTAAATCCTGATGTACTTTATCTATGGACAACCATGGAATATTCTGATGGGTCATAACCTTTTTGGCTTTTCCTGGTAGATGAAGGAAAAACTTTTCAACCTCGTTTCAAGCATCGGACCGAACCGCATAGCATGTTTGGGCAGCGGGCTGTTACAATATGGCACAGATCCTTGCGTGAAAAACTCCCATTATCTTATTCTTTGGCTATAAGTTTTCTTGTTTGCCATTTATCAAGAGAGTCAGTATTGCCTACAGATATAATAAAGTGGGTCCTTGAAGAAAAGCTTCCATATATATCCGCTTTTATTGAAATTGAGAAACAAATTGGATACCCTTCCAGTGCATGTCCTATCAGATCCTATTGTATGTTCAGACCTACTAAAGTCATTTCCTTTCAACGGTTGGAAGCATTGGCGGCTTATATTGCCCAGAAGATAGGTTTGGAATTGCCTCCAGTGAACTTTCACGGGATAGCTTCCCGCTTTCTAGTTTACTTGTCTGTTCCTGTCAACGACATTCTTCGGCAGGCATGCCAAATCTGTGAGTGGTCTATGCCTCCAGATTTATTTATCTCTGCCAACATGGCGCGGCTACCTACACGTGTATGTGTGATGGCTATACTGATTGTAACGATAAGGATCGTTTATGATATAAATGGTTTCGGAAAGTGGGAAGGGAGTTTGTTAAGTTCCAGCAGTTCACCTTCTGATGAAGGAAATGTAAATAAACATGTGAATAGTCTTTTTGCAACTGATGATACTGAAGAGAAATTCCCTTCTCTTTATGAAAATGCATCAGATGATGAAGACTTTGAATTGGACACTGTATCCCTTCTAAAGATGCTCCAAACTAAACACTCTGAAACCCGAGATGCACATGGTAATAAAATAATGTAGTTTGAAATGGCACATGGTGGTATTACTCCTTTTTTTTTAATCTTTATTTTGAACTGAAAGGCCTCTGGCATATCTTCCTTGCTTGACAGATTATTCAGGAGATTTGTCATCGTATCTTAAATATTGCAAGGAAGTGATCTTTACTGGTTCAGGCCCATCCTTTGAGGATCATGAGGAGGAAAACATAATTCGGGAGCTCTGGGCTTTTTATCACAATGAGGTAATCTTTTGATTCTCTTGTTGAATATCGGTTTCCTTGTTTTGTCCACCTTCAGAAGACCCATCCATCTCTGGTACTGATAAATGATGTTTATAACTGGAGTTTGATTTGGAAGGCTATTTGCGATTTCAACATTTTACTGTTCAAGTTTTCTGGGGGCAGAGTTAATAATTCACACAAGTCTCATGTTAGGTTTGGTCTTAAGATAAAATGTAATCTTTGGTTAGCCCTTTTACTAGTAAGTTTAAATTTAAATTCGGCCTGACACTTTGGTTCTGCATTTGTTATGCTGATATGGAGCTAATAATTGGTTTACTTTTTCATTTTAGGGTATGAAACAGCTGAGTGATCAAGAAATGTGCAGGCAGCCTCGTGATTTGTGCGGGAACATATTTACAGCTGCGGATGACATACCAAGGAAATGCAATGATCATGAAGCTGCCGAGTGTAATGGCATCCCGTTACAAGATGCCTCAAAAAGTGCTACGAACCAGAAAGACAAAACTCAATCTTCGATTGAGGCACGTAGAGATGAAGCAATAAGACAACTAAAACTGGACATGGATGAAAACAGATTTTCCTACATTCCACCAAGACGGCAAACGAAGAAATTGGGGTACATTTATTATTCCAGGAAGAAAATGGAAGGCAGCTACGTGTATGCTTGCCACGCAGATTATTACATCTTACTCCGTGCCTGCGCTGGGGTTGCTCAAATTGATCCGAGAGTCCTGCATTTTGGTGTACTGAAGTTGGAAAGGCGATTGAAACAACTGGAGGGAATGATCGATCAGCTTTACCACTGTCAAAAACCCAGAAGAGAATGTGATTCTCCTGCTATAGTTAAAAGGATATGAATAGACTTCTACGAACTGTCTCGGAGAAAGAATGGATTGTGTAGTTCCACAAATCAGAGGGGTGAATCCTACACTAAAGATGCTCTACCTCATACCGGAACCACGCCAATACTGTTAGTCTAAAGATATGCCCTCAAGGTGATGTACTGGAAAATTTGACGACTGGAAGAATTGGGAAGTTATCTGTACCCACAAAACTAATCATGAGTAGGGGAGCGAAATCAGGGTGTGTTTGGTTTGGAATTGGGATCCGTCTGAAAATGTAATTAATATTATGAAGTTGATTAGGAAAATTTCTAGAAAAACTACAAGGAATGATGTGTCTATTATCTAACTAAACTATGCCCTCGTTAGTAAGATACATTAAATATATCATGATGAAGTCATGATTTTAGCTCACCTGGGGGGACATTTAACCGAGTTAATCGAGTTAATTCACCGGAACTGTATTAACCTAGATTATTAGGCAATATTCCTCCATTGTACTAAAAAAATTAAATTATTTCCTAATTTTAAATGCTTAAAATCATGTATGAAAAATTAAAAAAATGATTGGTTTGAGCTTTCAGGTCATTCCTTATTATATTTTCTTGTATTTTTTTCCTTGCACAAATTATTATCCTTAAAAGAAATTTTTTTTTAAAAAAAAAATGGGGAGGGGTTAGGAACTATGTTCAGGTCTCCCTCAAATTTTATTACTTAAAATATAGAGAAGTGGTAGCATTTAGACTAACCACAATTACATCACGTAACTATTTAACTTTTACATATGGAATTAAAAAAACTATCCAATCGAACTTTTTTACGCGTTGAGGTTGGAAAATCACTCAGATTGTTGTATTGCTTTGTAGTCCCTGTAGAGGCCTGCTTAGCAAGTTTATCAGCAACACTATTTGCTTCTCGAAATATGTGTATGATTCGAGAATGGGAAGATCTCAACATGTCTTGTATCCCTCGGAAAAAATGATGATATTGCCATGGAAAATTCTTCCCTTTCTGAAGGCATTGTATGATAATCTTGTTAGATGTTTGCACTTCAATCTGTTGGCGGCTTGCTTGCGTACACATTTTAAGTCCATTATAAATACCCATACTTAGTGGCAGCTGCTATAAAAGATCCACACTCGCCCCTCAAGATATATCCCCCATCTTGCTTCTTCTGGTTGTCCCAATGCAGATCCATCAGTATTTAGTACAAGTCTTCCTGAATCGGGGGGCTTCCATTTGACAATCTTGATCTTTTTCCTCGCCGACTGTTGCACTTTAGCTCTAAAAAGATCCTCCACCTCTCTTTGCTCCGCCAATGTTTGTGCTTGAAGCTTATGAATGCTCAACATATAGGAAATATTAGTCGAAATATTATTTATCAAGCATTCGTAAGAAAAAGAAGTACCTTTATAGATCATTTTATTGTGAATTTTTCATACTTCCCAAAGCAGAAAAATGGGAGTAACTATTATGATTGATTTTTTCATCGAGGTATAGCCTCCTATTGTATGCCAAGACTGAAGGAGGCTTCACCAACCGATATTATTATGAGAAATAACACCCAATATTACAGCAAAATGATTCCAAACTTGGGTTATTCTAGGACAACTATAAAAAACATGATCTATAGTTTCTTTTGCATTCTGACAAAAAGGACATCTAGACGGATTCAGATTCAAATTCAGTTTTTGCAAGATTTCTGGAAAAAGAAGTAAAAAATTGTAAAGTCTCCACTTAAAAAAAAACTTTCAAAGGGAGTAATTTATTCCAAAAATTACGTAAAGGAGAATGAACTTCCCTAACTTGACGAGTAGCTTTGTAAGCAGAAGATAGCGAAAACTCTCCATTGGTAGATGGTGTCCACACAAGCCTGTCCCTTGCATCATCAAAAACAAGCTCTAAATCCCGCAACTTGGCAGCAACATCCGGCTGGAGAAGACCATCAAATACCTGCAAGAAAAACATTTTTGAATGAAAGAAATCACTCACAGTTAAAGCCGGGGCTAGGGTCACATTTTCATCATTCCATATCGCATCAATAGAAAGCCATCTGTCAAACCAAAAAGATGATGATCTATCTATGATTTCCACTTTGATCTTGGCACGACTAGGTGGTGTACTTGTTGCGTTCGTATCCAACATGTCCTTGCCTTTGAAGTTTCCGATAATGACCTAATAAACCGCGCCCAAATTCCGGTTCCAGAATGGATCTTCCACCAAAGCTTAAGTGAGAAAGCTTGTATAACATCTTGAAAGCTTCTAATGCCTAAGCCATTTTCCTCAATTGGAGAGGTCAAGTGTACCCATGCCCGCCAATGCTTTTTATTACCTTCCTCATTCTCACCCCACAAAAAAATGTTGACATTTACTTTCAAGAACTGATACAATGGCTTTTGAAGGCGCAATGGCTGCAATTGTATGAATGGGAAGCGCAGATAGAACATGACGAAGAAGGATCAACTTGCCCCCTTGTGATAAAACCTTATTTTTCCAATTTGCAAGTTTCACATCAAAAGCTTCAACCAGGTGCGAAAATATTCCACTTTTTTCCAGCCCTTAAAAAGCTTACAGCCCAAGTAAGTGAAGGGAAGACTCCCTTGTGGCATTTGGAGAGTTTGATGCACCATTTGAACATGATCTAATGTGCTTTTTTCCGAGGTGTAGAAGCAACTTTTCTGTTTATTCATCTTCTGGCCAGTTGCTGCTTCATAATCTTGGGAAAAAGAAGTCAATCGCTGCATAGAGTTTTTCAATCCCTTGGTGAAGACAACTAGATCATCTGCAAGCATAAATGCGACGGGCATAAATGCGACGGGATTATTGCACTTGCTGGAACCCCATAAAATGCAATCTTTCCTTCATTCGTGAGTTGTTTCAAATTCCGAGTTAGTGCCTCTGAAAGCAGGATGAACAAATACGGCGAGAGAGGATCTCCTTTCTTAATTCCTCTAGACGCTTAAAAAAATCCAACCGGACTCCCATTTAAGAGAACTGAACCAGCTTCATTCCAAATTAGACATCACCAGAGATACAAATTTAGCATGAAAACCAAACTTCTGTAAAATACTCCTTAAGAAATTCCAAGACACTCGATCAAAAGCCTTCATCATATCAAACTTTAAAATAAAGTTTCCTCCTCGGGCCGGATGATCTAAGAATTGAATGAGATCTTGAGTCATGAGAATATTATCAATAATATCTCTCCCGGCCAAAAAAGCTGATTGTTCCTCCGAGATTAAAGAACGAAGAATCCTTTCAAACGCTCCGCTAGCAACTTGATGAAGATTTTATTCAGAAAATTGCATAAGCTAATAGGTCAGAAATCAGCAAAAGATGTGGCAGTAGCTTTTTTCGGGATCAATGTAATTAGAGTGCTACTAACTGCCCTTGGCAATGGAGTACCATTCAGAAAATAAAGACAAGCATCCTTGAGATCTTGATTAACGATATGCCAACAATGTCGATAAAAGAATCCCCCAAAGCCGTCTATTCCGAGAGCACTAGATGGATCCAAGCTAAATACTACCTCTTTCAGGTCATCCATTGTTGTAGTCCGTATAAGCGCTTCATTATCCTCTGAATTAACAATAGAAGGGATATTACTCAGAATACGAGAGCTTTCTTCCTCATGATCCGCCAACTCCTCTTTAGTTAATAAACCCTTAAAGAAGGATACTGCCTCAGCCTCAATATCTTCCCTTCGCATCAACCAAGTTCCAGATTGACCCCGAATTTTATAAATGCCAAGCCTTGCTTTCCTTTCTGTCATAGACGCATGAAAATAGGCCGTATTAGCATCCCCGTCTCGCAGCCATTCTTGTTTCGCTCTCTGCTGAAGAAAATCATCATGCTCTCGTAGCTTCAATAGAAGATATGCTTGCGATTTATGTAGCTCAACTCTATCCCCATCCGTTCCAGATTGATCATATATAGCTTCCTTAACACGCACATCCTCCTCTGCCTCTTTTAAGTTCTGAAAAACGTCGCCAAAAACTGACTTATTCCAGTCCCTTAGACATGCTTTCAGCCGGCGAAGCTTCAAGGAAAAACGGGCCATACGATTCACAGAAGTTGGCAGCCCCCAATTTTCTTGAACTACCTCCAGAAATTGTCTTGACGAATCCACATTTTCCGAAATCAAAAGATACTCGGACGCGTTTCAACATCCATCTGAAATTGATGAAAAAGAGGAGCATGATCTGATTTCGTGCGATTTAAATGATGTACCGACACCGCTTGAAATAGCGTTATCCAGTCAGAGCTAAACAAAATGCAATCCAGCCTCTTAAGAACTCTTCCATTCTGACGATTCCCATCCCAAGTGAAGAGATTTCCTACCGGTGGCAAGTCCGTCAAATTGCAGCTGTTAATCCATTGATTAAAATCCTCCATAGCGCCCCTCTCAGGTTGAGAACTTCATATTCATCAAGATTTCGTATGACATTGAAATCGCCGGCAACCATCCATGGAATTCCAGTATGTGCATCATAAAACCCCTTCAATTCTGTCCATAAGCGTTGCCTATCTGAACGAGAAGACTTGGCATAAATTGCTGAAATTAAAATTGGCTTTCCGATTTTTTGAGTTTCCGCTTCAAAATGTAGAGCTTTCTCAGACCCCCCAATCAGTTTAATCGACCATTCTGAAGAACAAAGTGCCCAAATTTTACCGGTTTCCGAAGCAAAGCCTTGACTAAAATGGAGTATATTTCTTAGCTCTTCCATTTTCAATTCCGGTAACAGGGTTCCAATAAAACAACAAATGAAATTGAATGCTGTCTAACCAAATTTTTGAGACGCCGTGGGGACGCTTTATTCCCAACTCCGTGTATATTCCATATAAGCTGGTTATTCATCAAAAACAGTGAGGGAAGAACCACCATTGAGTCTTGTAGATTTACGAGTTTCTGTTTGCATTTGCGGCTTTTTTGTCGATCCCTTTGGCCTGCCTTTTTTAGATTTCCTGGGACCCTCTCCATCAGAAACAACAACTCTAGCATTTTCATATTCAACTAACTCAGAGGACGTACCAATTACAGTATCATCATGAGCTCGATTAGCAGCTAGCATCGTACTTTTCAGCAACAAGGAATCGTACTTTTCAGCAACAAGGAATCGTCTTCATGATCTTTATCTTCTCCTTCCGAATCAGTTTCAATACCCGATTCCAGAGTTCCATCCACATGATCCAGTTCTTCAGTAGCATCAGTGACCGTTTTTTCCAACACCTGATCATCAGCTAATTCTTCCAAAATAGCAAAACGCGCCGAGAGACGAATATTCGGAACATAGACAGCGAGCTGTTGTTTTTTAATTATTTTCATCCCCCAATTTCTGTTTTTGCTCCTGAGCTTCCCAAGTTTCAATTGTGTCTTCTTCTTTACTGTTTTCAATTATTGTCGCAAGCTTTTCCTTTGATATCCGACGTTTCCCAGAGGACAGATTTGAGGGGCTCTGTTCCGTAAGATCAATTGGTATATCCCGTTTTTCCTTGGTTGATAAACCAGATGAAGACGCTTTTTGATCAATTGAGCTGGCCGTTTCATTTTTTGTGTTTCCCCTTGGCTTCGAC